GAAGGAAGGAAGGAAGGAAGGAAGGAAGGAAGGAAGGAAGGAAGGAAGAAAGAAAGAAAGGAAAGAAAGAAAGAAAAGAAAAGACATGACAGTGAGATACATGTCTCTCTCCACCATGTAAAGATACAGCAAGAAACTATCCTTCTACAAACCAGAAATGAAGCTCTCACCAGAAACCAGATCATCCACATTTTCATCTTGGACTTCCCAGCCTCCAGAATCATGAGAAATAAATTTCTGTTTAAGCCACACAGTATATATTTGTTATGGCAGGCTGGCAAGACTAAGACAGGACATTTTTTTCCATTTCATTTATTTAGATCTTAAATTTCTTTCAGCACTATTTTACAGTTTTCAGAGTATATGTTTTCTATTTCTTTTGTTAAATTTACTTGAAGTATTTTACTCTTTTTGATGCTATTGTAAAGACAATTTTCTCTTTTTTTGTTGTTTTCCTATTTATTTATTTAGAGATATGGTCTCACTCTGTCACCCAGGCTGGAGTGCAGTGGTGCTGTCACTGCTCACTGCAGCCTCTACCGCCTGGGCTCAAGTGATCCTCCCACCTCGGCCTCCCAAATAGCTGGGACTACAGGCATATGCCACCATGCCCAGCTAATTTATTTATATTTTGTAGAGATGGAGTTTTACTGAGCTGTCAGGCTGGTCTCCAACTCCTGGGCTCAAGCAATACCCCCATGACCTTCTCAAGTGTTGAGATTATGGGTATGAGCCACTGTGACTGGCTAGATGTTTTCCATTTTAGAACAGTAGGTTGCTAGCAAGTTTACGCTTATACCCATTCCAACAAATAGTGCAAGCACAGTTCAAAATGTTACATTTTCCATCTCAAAGACGAGTACAACTCCAAAGAAGTCAGACTCATTATTAGCAATGCAGAGCTAGACATCAATATTTAGATGAATGTCAGAAATCTAATTCCCTTTGTTACCATCAAACATGTCCTTTCACTAGTCACATCCAACATATCTAAAGTTTTCAAAATTAATGTTAATTAATGTTAAAAATGTATACAAAAACCTACCAACTTACTCAAACATTTGTGCAAGTCTATTTTTAAACATCGACATTAGGGAAACATGGTGAAAAGCTTTATTACGTTCTATGTATCAAAGCAAAGACAGACTTGAACTACAAAATGAAGATAGGGTCAACTGTAACGAAAAAACAGTATTCTTCCCCCGGGGGGCCAACCAAGGAATGGAGGAGCCACGGATACGAGAGAAATAGCCAGGCCACCCAATTCTATTGTCACGCTTTTCAGTGAAAAGTGACTACTAAAAAAAAGAGAGAGAGAGAGAGAGAGAGAGAAGATTGGGGAGGGGAGAGAGAAGGGGAAAATATCAAAAACACTAACATGTGCTTAAAAGGAATACAAAACTGAGTGTTAGACTACATAAATTTTAAAAATTTAAATCAACAAATCAAAATTTAGAAGGCAAATTTGGGAAAAGTCATCTATTTTCAGAGTGCCCAAGAGCTCACCCAGGACCTCCATGTATTTTCATTTCAAAGTACAGAGTTTAGTGTCTTAATAACGGCTTAAAAGCTTTCGCCCTTTTCAAGGACTAGATCTTTGGAATTTTCTGCAGTCTTGTTTCCGGAAAAGCATTTATGCATTTATCTTTTCAAATAAACTAGTGGTTCAACCAACCTAGAGAATCTCCAGTTGTAGAGCCCTCCAATCAGGGAGGACTGTTAACTACAGCTTTACGGATTGCTCTTTTGAATTTTTTTTCTGAAATAAAACCTATATTCTTTCAAACATTTTCTATATCAGCAACCTTTAAAGACAGTCTCATACAGAGGCGGGTTAGAATCTCATGCATTAAAATCTGACGAATTCCTTTGATTGGATTTTTTTTCTTGTATCACTTTAAATTTGCTTCCACACAGAATAGCAGTCAGGGAAGTAGATGTTCCATTCTAAGGTGTAGAGATTTCTTGTAGAGGGAGATGATTTTTGTTAGGCGAAAGCTTCTGACAGTTTGCAATGCCAGGCTCTTCCAGTGCTAAAGTCAGGCACCAACGCCTGGTTCTGCGGTCCAATCCTCAGGCCGCCGCCGCTGCCGCGGCTAAGTTCCTTCCTGGAGCCGAGGCTGCTGCTGCTGCTGCTGCCACGGCCACTGGGCGGCGCCGCGCCGCCAAACGGCGCTCCTTGCTCTACGCTTCCCTGAGGCCTCGCGGCCCTTCTCCACTACCGCCAGCATCCGCGGGGACCGGGGCAAGACGAAAGTGGCGGGGGCCCGAGGCTCCTGAGGAGGTGGCAAGGGGCGCCGGGCCCGGGAGGGGGCGTGGGGCGGGCGCGGCGGGAACCCCCGGGCGCGACTTCCAGGTGGGGAAAGCCCGAAGTGGGGAAAGCCCGGACCCGCAGAGCGCGCAGGCGCTTCCAGCCCCCCGGCACCTAGCCGAGCGCAGCTTAGGCTTTCGTCTCGGCCCACACTTTATTTGGAACTGTCTTATTTTCACATTGCTCTTTGCAAACGTATAGAAATACTATCCACGCTTTTTTATTTCCATTTCCCTCTCCCATCAGGCAGCCGTTCTAAGGTGTTTAACGTGTACGTTTTTATCTTTAAGGTTGTATCTTTTGTTTTTCAAATCGTAGGAATGGTATTGAATTGTCTGTCCACTGTTTTCTTGGCTGTATGCCTTCAACAACCGTCCACCTGCTCTGCAAGCAGCAAGGGTGTGCTCTGAAGCTGCTGCCACGTGAAGTGCGCTCCAGGGTGAGGTCCACGCGTGGCTCGCCTCCACCTGCAGTGACGCAAGGCGCCCAGAGCGCTTCCGGGATTCCCACATTCCCCCGTCCACCACCCGGCATCCAGGAGCCTACTTTGGCCGGTCTAGTAAGGGTCAAGCCGCATCTTGTTGTTTAATTGCCATTCTTCTAGTTAGAAATTAGTTTAAATATCTCTACATACGCATTTCAGCCTTTTAGTCTCCTGTTTAAGTTAACGTAGAGCATGTCCATACGAGTTCTCCAAAAAGTGAGAGAACGTTTGCAGGTCACCACAACCCCCTCCCTCTCTCAGTAAAGACCTTAGCAAAGCCAGGAGGACCCGCTGATACGCGGGTGAGTGGTTTTCCTATTTTCCCCGTTCCCTGATTATCTTTTCTGCTCTGGTTCCCTTGGATGATGCAAGAGAACCGCTGAATACCGAAACGTCAAGCGCGCCTCATCCTAGGAGGCACAGTCTCCGCTCGCCCTGGTGCCGCCCCTGCACCGGGTAGGCCTTCAGGGTAAACCTGTTGAATTCGGATTCCGCATCTCACAAAGGAACGGCGCTCGAAAATAGAGCCCCCAGCCCCAGGAAGTCGCGGACTCCTGGAGGGGCGTTAGGGAACTGACCCGCGAGGACCCTCTGGCGCCAGGTGCCCCCGCCCCACCCCAGCCGCCCCCTACACACGCCCCTACCTGTGGTAGTCAGCGCGCGCCCCAGAAGCAGGAGCGCTGCGCAGCAGAACGCTGAAGCTGCCGCAATCCCCGCCATCGCCTTGGTAGCCGCTCTGGAATTTTTTTCACCAAGTGGGAGCAGGCGGCCCGGAAAGATCCGAGAGCAGAGGGAGCCCTCTATTGCGCAAAGAGTGGGCGGAATTTCTAGCCGGCGCTTTTGCACATCCCACTTCTTCGGATGCCTTCGGCAACTGTGAAGTCGGATTTCGCGGGTATGCACTGCAGGGATCCAGGCGCGTGACCAGCCCCGCCCACGCCGCACTTTGGCCCAGGGGCGGGCACCGCGCGGGGAAGCCACCCTCGCCCTCGCAGGCGGCTCGAGGCTGCGCAGTTACAGCCTCGGGGCCTCTCGCGAGCCGCTCTGCGGTCCAGAGCTCTGGGCATCCTCCGAGTTCGCTTAGTAAAGTGAGGCCAGGATCCAAGTGGCCCGGAGCACTACCCTAAGGAGGATGGTGACCGCAGTCAGTGAATGCGAGAGCAGGGGCACGTGTCCAGAACGACATCTTACCGTAGGCACGATAAACTTAAACTTTAAAAACCAAAAACAACAACAAAAACGTCACATTACTTAAGTCGAAAGCCAAATTACATCTCCAGGACAATTCAGTTAAACGCCTGAAGGTGGCCCTTAATTTCACATTTCTACTAACCAAGAAGTGGTTTGCAACCTCCTGAAGCAAACCCAAATATTCTCATTCGATGATTAAGTTTTACCACTTCTAGACGAATTTTTAAATCAATTTAACTGCAAAGTTCAGAACTCAAGTGGCACTGTAAATGTGTGTGCATTTATAACGCGCAACCTGCATTCTTTCTCCAGCAATCTGCATTCCATTTGTCTCATTGACCCTATTTCATTTTTCCTTCGCATCACTAAAACGGATGTAATGTACAGAAAAACACAGACCTGAACTCCAATGCCAACCATGCCATCTGCTGATTATAGGACAGTGGGCAAGTGACCTCATATCCCCAGCCCGTTTACACTTCTCTAAAACTGATAGTAAAAGCTTCCTTTGCAGGGTTAGAGATGCCGTCACTGACTAAGCAAATAGTTACATTCTCACTTATCTGCAGAACAAATTGAATGGATAAAGAGCTCAGAAGTGAGAGATTCGCAGAGTGCCCACAAGTGGCAGCAACTAGCTGAGGGGCCTTCAGAAGATCGCAGCTTTCCCGACAGCCGTTGTAACAGGTAGAGATGTGCAAGGTTAATTCCGACTATAGAATTTTTAAAACCTAAATTACACCTCTTCTCAACCGCTGCCTACTCCATGGAGCCTTACCTGAGGACACGTCCTTGTCTGGTATTAGTGACATCATTAAATAGCATTCCCAATGGAGGTATATGATGGCTCCCTATACATGCCCAGAATAGTGATTCACAAAGTTGTGACATATACACATCACCCTATAGAAATTATCAAATTACTCTTTGGGTAATTTTTACTGTTTTGATCACTTTTGATATCCTTTTTACTCTAAAGGATAAAACTGGCAGATTTCTCTATATTTCATTAGAAGGAAAAGTCATTATCTTGTATATATGTGTTTTCATTTTTACCAATATCACATCTATTTGAACATTATTATTATTATTTTTTTTTGAGATGGAGGCTCACTCTTGTCACCCAGGCTGGAGTGCAGTGGCGTGATCTCGGCTCACTACAACCTCCGCCTCTCGTGTTCAAGCAATTCTCCTGCCTCAGCCTTGTGAGTAGCTGGGATTTCAGGCGTGCAGCATCACACCCAGCTAATTTTTGTATTTTTAGTAGACGGGGTTTCACCATGTTGGCCAGACTCGTGATCCACCCTCCTGGGCCTCCCAAAGTGGTGGGATCACAGGCTTGAGCCACCATGCCCAGCCCCACCTCCCCTGCCACCTTTTTTTTTTTGAGACGGAGTCTTGTTCTGTTGCTCAGGCTGGAGTGCAGTGGCTTGATCTCAGCTCACTGCAATCTCTGCCTCCTGGGTTCAAGAGATTCTTGTACCTCAGAGTCCCAAGTAGCTGGAAGTACAGGTGCTCTCCACCACACCTGGCTAATTTTTGGATTTTTAGTATAGATGGAGTTTCACTATGTTGGCCAGGCTGGTTTCCAACTCGACCTCAAGTGATCTGTCCACCTCAGCCTCCCAAAGTGCTGGGATTACAGGCATGAGCCACCATGTCTGGCTTGAATATATCTTTTAATACTTTTGCCAATGATTCATTCAACTCTAAAGCACACAGCAGATGCCTCACAATGCCTCTCAAATAATATGAGCGTATATCCTCAGGGATTATTTATGGAAATCCCTGACTTTCTATGTTCTTTATTGCTGCATAGCATTGAGACATGGTATTCAAATGCTGGTTAACACTGAGGTCATTTATATGACACATCGCATCCAACTTGCTGTTGGAATATCACATACAATTTTGGAACCATATTGTAACACATTAAAAACATCCAACAAGTAATCAGAATGGTGAATAAGGGACACTCACCCAAAGACATGTATCCAGGTACAGTATGGCAGAGACTGCTTCTTGTCAACCAATATCTATTTTCCCCTTTTCCTTGAAAAAAAGCCTCCAATTTTATCCTGGGCACAGGGATCTCCAAAATAAAAGACTGCATTTCCTGACCTCTCTGGAGCTAAATGTGGCCATATGACCAAGTTCTGGCCAAAGAACTTGGAAGTGTTCTGTGTGACTTCTGGGGAATGTCCTTAAAAGGAAGGACATGATATTCCTTACCCCTTCCTTCTGACAGCATCTGGAGTGCAGATGTAATGCCTAGAGTTTGAGCAGACATCTTGCACCACAGTGTGGAAACCATGCAGTAGGACATGGGGACAGCAAAAGAGAATGGTTCTGGGTCCCTGACGACTTGTGAAACCTCTACCAGCTTTAGAATGACACCTCTGAACCTGTGGAACATAAGAAATAAAGTCAGTAATCTACCCTTATTTAAAATGTTCTCATTTTCAGCAGAACCAAATCCTAATCACTACAAATGAGTAAAGGAGCTGAGCCCGTTTTGCTTGGAGTAGCCTGGGAGTTTAAGACATGGTACGAGTCTTGTAAGTCTCTGAAAAGCTAACACCTGCGAATCTGAGTACACATGTTAGGTGATGTTTTTGAAGGCAAAAAAGCAAGTTGGAGAGAGATTTTGGCTCAGTGTAAGAAAAGCTTTCTGCCGGGTTCAGTGGCTCACAATGGTAATCCCAGCACTTTGGGAGGCCAAGGCAGGCAGATCACCTGAGGTCAGGAGTTCGAGACCAGCCTGGCCAACATAGTGTCCCCTGTCTCTGCTAAAAATACAAAAATTAGTCAGGCATGGTGGTGGATGCCTGTAATCCCAGCTACTTGGGAGGCTGAGGCAGGAGAATCACTTGAACCCAGGAGGTGGACACAGAGGTTGCAGTGAGCTGAGGTCATGACACTGCACTCCAGCCTGGTGACAGAGTGAGACTCTGTCTCAAAACAAACAAACAAACAAACAAAAACTCCCAAATTTGATAATTATGTGATGGTTATTATTTTAAAAAAAACAACAAAAAACTTTGTTCATAGAGATGCTCACTCACACATTTAAGGTAAGGGATCACAATGTTTGCAGCTTAATTCTGAAATGCTTCAGTCAAACAAATAATTGTACAGAAAGAGTGAAAGCAAGATATACCAGAATTTGTGAAAGGAAAATATTTTGGGCCCCGAAAATCACTAAGGAAAACTCAAGCTAGCAACTGCTTAGGGCAAACCTGCCTACAATTTTATTCAGTCACTCCTCTGCTCACTGAGATAGATGCATATCTGATTTGCCTCATTTGGAAAGGTAGAAACTCAAAAGAAGATGGTTAACCCTTTTGTGTATCACCTGTCTGTGACCTGGAAGCTCCAGCCAAGGTTAGAGCCTTCCTGCCTTTGCTTCAAGTTGTCCTGCCTTTCCAGGCCAAACCAATGTACTTCTTACATATATTGATTGAGGTCTCATGTCTCCCTAAATGTGTGAAACCAAGCTGTGCCCCAACCACTCGGGCACATGTCATCAGGACTTCCTGAGGCGGTGTCACGGGTGCCTCCTCAACCTTGGCAAAATAAACTAAATTAACAAAATTAACTAAATTAACTGAGACCAGTCTCAAATTTGGGGGGTTCACAAATTCATTGTACTATTGTTTCAACGATTTGATTTTTTTTCAAACAAACACATACAAAACTAAATGCAATGTTTGATCCCAGGTTGGATCTTAGCCCAGAAAAAATTCATAGTAGGATAACTGGCAAAATTTGCAGGCTTATAGAATTATACCAATGTTAATTTCCTGTAATACTTTTACTATAGTTATATAACGTGTTAATATTTGAGGAAGCTAGGTGAAGGGCATATGGGAATTCTTTATACTATTTTTACAAGTATTTTGTAAGTCTGAAGTTATTTAAAGTTGGGCAGCTAAAAATCCTAACACCCAGTCCAGGATTTTCTACTATACCATCATCATGGACTCTGTCAGTGTGCTATCTTATTAAATCGTTCTTGAATTTAAATGGAAATATTTCTTATTTATTATACAGTACTGAAGGGTAGGGAGTGTGGCTGTAAATGCTGTCAATGGCATCTAAATGCTTATTAGACTTTTCATAAAATCAGCCAGGTTCCCTCTTCTTTATAGATTCTCTAATGTTGAAAAAGATTGAGGTGCTTTTCTACATGCTTTACCAGTTCCCAAACATGTCTTCATATTAGAATCACTTGGAGATGGGACCCAGGTACCAGTAATTTTTGTACCTGGGTATTCCTATTGGAATCACCTAGACAAGCCTGGAAACCACTGTGATTTCCACTTCAATGCTATTACTGGAAGACTTGAAGCAGGAGGTGGATAACCACTTACTAGCCATGCTGGAGAAGTGGTTCCTTCATTGGAAGACAATATCTAAGGCTCTTACTCAGGCTTTATGACTCTCTATTGTTAGTGTTTTACAAATAATTCATTCTATTAACATTGTCAAATCTCTTTTTCCCCAGAAAATTACAACAAATATTACATATTTTTCTAATTTTACTTTTAATGTAATTAGAAATAAACTTACACAAACAATGACTAGAATAATATTTTCCAAAAAATATTGCAATGGAAGAATTCTTACAACATATATTCATAAAATGAATTCAAATGTAACAAAATTATATAAAGTATCTGTTTTTTCTAATTCTCTATCACATTAAAATCCAATTTTGTATTTATAGTTTAAAAATAGACCAAATATCTAAATAAGTCCAGAAAACTTAAATCTAAGAACTTTTTCCAAAATTTAAAATTAACATCTTCAGCCACATATTTATAAAAGATTACTTTTTTTTTTTTTTTGAGACAGAATTTCACTCTTGTTGCCCAGGCTGGAGTGCAATGGCTCGATCTCGGCTCACCGCAACCTCCGCCTCCTGGATGCAAGCGATTCTCCTGCCTCAGCCTCCTGAGTAGCTGGGATTACAGGCATGTGCCACCACGCCCAGCTAGTTTTGTATTTTTCGTAGTAGAAATGGGATTTCTCCATATTGGTCAGGCTGGTCTGGAACTCCCGATCTCAGGTAATCCACCCGCCTCAGCCTCCCAAAATGCTGGGATTACAGGTGGTTGAGCCACCGCGCCCAGCCAAAAGGTTATATTTTTACTTCAACACTCAAATTGAAAATTTGTCAATATTCTCCCCATAATTAATAACAAATAAAAGGTCTTTAAAATTTTGACTTTAGGATATGTAAACCATCATTCTTAAATGGTTTTAAGACATAATTAATATTGGTAATATGTGGATTATGCCACACTGGTTTTCTTCATTAAAAGAAAAAGCAATAATGGATTGGGTTTTTGTTGTTGTTGTTTTCATGTTTTAGTTCCAGAAGACAGTTTTTCCAGAAGATACTGAATGGCCTTCCATCCAGAACTATTTTAGTCACAAGCTTACACACATTTTCCATTCAAAAATAAGGTCTTTCAATTAAAAGCTATACAAATTGGTACACAGACAGCATTTACTACACAGATTCTATTTCTAAAGTTGCAAGGTTTCTAATTTT